CATGGGCTGGTCTTTGAGCTGTTCAGATGGACTTCTCACTTCTCCAGCTCCCTCCATTGGAACCTCCTGGAACATTCTCGTTACGGTGGCCATTTTTCCTCCACTAGAGGCCGCCCTTTTTATCTCTCCCCTGGCTTGTCGCTGTCTGTGTCTGTCTGGTATGTGTTTGCTGTTTCCATTTGGTGTTTTTGGTGCTATTCCTAGTTGTTGAGGTTGTGTTTCATTAGTCGTTAAGGCCTGTTCTGTTCCTTGTTTGGTCATGGTCTCCCCCTTCCTCTCTATGAGTGTTGGATCTGCGTGAAGAGTCTCCCCCTTCCTCTCTGCTTGTAATGTATATATGTGAAGGGTGTCCCCCTTCCTCTCTGTTTATGTCTGTGTTCCCCCTTGTCCCTCGGGTTTTTAGTTGATCAATGTGTCTTTTACAGCTTCTGCCATCAGTTGTGTCTACCCTGTAAGACTGGGGCCCCGTTACCTGGGCCACCATCGCTGGTACCCATAATGGTTCTCCTGTTAGGTTTTTAGCGTAAACTGGATCGCCCATTTGGAACGTCCGGCATTTGCTGGATGAATCTAGTGGTCTGTCTGGATTGTAATTGGGGTGTAATCTGTCTAGGGGTGATATCAGCTTTCTTCCCATGAGTAATTTGGCAGGGCTTTTATTTGTTGTTGCGCTGGGTGTTATGTGCTGTATACTTAATAACTTATCTATTTTTGCTTGCATATCCCCTGGCCCTAGTTTCTGGAGTGTTTCTTTCGTGTACCAGACCATGCATTCTACTTGTCCATTCATTGTCGGGTATCCCAGTGCCGATAGGGCATGCCTTATCCCATTCTGTGCTAAGAACCCCTCAAACTGGGTGGCTGTAAACTGAGGCCCATTGTCGGATACTATTATGTCCGGGAAGCCGTGTGTGGCAAATAGTTTCCTTAGATTCCTTATGACTGCCTCTGTTGTGGACTGCATGATGCTGACTTCCAGCCATTTAGAATATGTGTCCACTACGATAAAAAAATGTGTGGCCCCGTGAAATCGATATGTACCCTTGACCATGGTCCCCTTGGTGTTTCCCACTCATGGTTGGGTGCCATGGGGGGTGCTGACCGGTTTTCCTGGCAACCCTTGCAGGCGGATACCCATGCCTCTATTTCTTTATCCATCCCTAGCCACCACACATAGCTCCTTGCTAGGGATTTCATTTTAACTATCCCCGGATGCCCTTCATGCAACATTTCCATTATATCGTCCCTTAAGTTTTTGGGAATTATTATCCTATCCCCCCCACACCCTTTCAATATTGATAGTTCTGTTTGCCTGTTCCTGAACGGTTTTGTTTCTTCAGCTGTCTCCCTCTTGGGCCACCCTCTCCCTACCCAGTTCAAAACGTGCACCAGAGTTCTGTCTTTAGCTGTTGCTCTCACGATATGAGTTGCTGTTACTGGTGTTCGTTGCAATGTCTCTATCAGGAGTGTGGTTGTCGCTGGTGCTGGATCCTCATCCTGGGTAGGGGGCAATGACTCAGTGCGTTGGCATGGTCAATGTCTCTTCCTGGCCTGTAGATTAATTTGTAGTCGTAGGCAGCTAAGAATTCTATCCAATGTGTCATTCTGGGGGACAAGATGTTTGGTGTGGCTCTGTCCCCCGTGATGATGCTGAAAAGTGGTTTGTGGTCAGTGACTAGTGTAAACTTTCTTCCGTATATGTATTCATGGAATTAGCCGCAGTCGCTGGAAACGCTTGATTCCAGCGACTGCGGCTAATGCTTCTTTGTCTAGTTAGCTATAATTCCGATCTGGTTTGGATAATGTCTTTGAATAGAAGGCTATTGGAGCTTCTTTGCCACTCAGTAATATGTGGCTGATGATCGTGCCGAACCCGAATGGTGACGCGTCACAAGTTAATATTAATAGTAAAGTCTCGTTGTACTGGATTAGTACGCGGTCTGAGGTAATTATGCTCTTTATCTCTTGGAACGCTGCTTCTTCTTTTTGCTCCTAAACCCAGGCTGCCTTCTTGTCAAGCAGTCTGTGGAGTGGCTCTGCCACTGTTGCCTTCTATGGTAAGAATATATGGTAAAAGTTAATGAGACCCAGGAAGGCTTGCAACTCTGTTTTGCTTGTTGGCCTGGGGGCTTCTTTGATTGCTTTAATTTTACTGTCCATGGGGTGGATCCCTTCATTGTCTATTAGATAGCCCAGGAATTCTACCTTGCCGGCTGCTAGCTGGCATTTTTCCTTTTTTCCTTTTAGCCCCACCTCTTTGAAATGGCTTAGGACTTCCCTTAAATGTCCTTGTAATTGTTCTTTGTCCTTAGCTGATATGAGGACATCGATGCGCAGAGATCCATCTGGCTTTATAGGTGTGACGATAGGGGTTTCCCATCTTGCATGGTCTATGGGTTCTAGGATTCTTTGGGAAATGAGCTTGTCTAATTGCTCATCTATTTTTGGTTTAAGCACGAATGAGACTCGCCTTGCTTTGAGTCTGATTGGGGCTATGTTTGGGTCTAGGTTAAACGAAATAGGGTCTCTGAGTACTTGCCCAATTTTCCATCGAACACGTCCTGGAATTCCTCCATCAGGTTGTCTTCCAAATCGCTTTCTGTGATGCTGTGGATTCTGGTGAAATGGATCCCCAATGGCTTGAACCATTCGAGTCCCAGCAGACTTGGCTGGTCCCGGTCAACCATAGTTAAAGGTAGAATTCCTGAGTAGTTTCAGAAGGTCACCCGGAATTCACCTATGCCAATGACAGGAATCTTGTTCCCTTGATAGTCCTTTAGGATTAGTCTTTGCTTGCTCAGCTGGCTTTTTGTCAGGTTGGGAATTAGACTTTTGATGGTGTCCCACGACACCATCGACAGAAGAGATCTGGAATCCACTTCCATCCAGCATTGTTTACCTTCTATTGTGACTTGGATGTGGACTTTTTTGGAATTTGCTGTGCTGGAGTGACCCACCATCACAATCTGGTGTGTTTTGCTCCTTGCTGTGGTCAACACGTTGCTCCGTCGGTTCCAGCTGAATTGGCCCTGGTGGTTCTCGGGTTGATTTTCCTGGTTTCTTTGAGGTGTGCTTTGTCTTGGCCTTCTGCTGTTTGGCCTGAATGCTCGGCATGCCCTCGCAATGTATCCTCTCTGCTCGCATCATTGGCAGACGGTGTCTCAGAAACGGCATTCCGATCATAGGTGATTTCCCTCGCAACCTGCACATCAAAATTCCTTCTGCTTCCCCTCTTGGCTTTTGTGGTGCCTTCCTGAACGTAGTTGGTTCACTCCCTCATCATCGCCTGATCCCAACTCGGATTTGAGGTCCTCGTGGTGAATGACAGCGGCATCCTTTTGAAGGGGTTGCGGTATCTAGTGAATGGCGGCAGCATCCTTTTGAGGGGGTTGTGGTGTCTTATTCATCTTCCTCATAGCAGCGGCAGATTTTTGGGCTACTTCTATGGCTGATGCTTCTTTGATGGCCTCCTTGAGTGTTATTTTAGGTTTTGTAAGGAGGCGGCTTTGTAGTGTCAGGTCCCCGAGTACCCAGGACTACGCAATCTCTCATTGCCTCATCCACATTCAGGAACTCGCATGCTCCGGCAATGTCCCTCAGGCTCGCAATGAAGTCGTTGATGCTCTCTCCTTCCTCCTGGTCTCTCCAGTAGAATTCATCCTTCTTAATTAGGCTGGATACCGGCGAGGTATGATGGGCCCTCAGAATTTTCTTCAAGTCAGCCCATGCCATCGTTTTTACATCTCTTGGGGCTGCAAGAGCTTTAGCCATTTTGAAAATGGCAGGGCCACAATGCGTGAGGAAGACAGCTTTCTTCCTCTGTTCCGTAATGGTCATCAGGTCGCTGCTTTCCAGGAACATCTGGAATCGGTCGACAAAGGAATCACAGTCCTCGGTTGATGGGTCGATCAGTGTGGGTGGCGTATTGTTTCCAGCCATGTTGAGTTCTTTGTTCGGTTAGTTAGCCACGTGCTCGTGGTCCCGCTTCTCTCAGTATCCCACCTTCATCACCAGTGTTAGATTGTGGGCGAGAGATAATGCGGGAGGCTCTGACTGCTTAGTTCCTTTATTGCATCTTTCAGAACAAAGACCTCAGCCATGGCAACTCCTTTTACCATTTAAATTCCCGTCATCGCAGACCAACCAATTGGAGGTGCGTATGTAAATATCTAACACAATTAATGCACAAAATAAATGTGTGCAAAGGCCCTCCTGGACACAGTTGCTCCCTGTTGCTTGAACAGTAGCTGTGAGTCCAAGAGGATCCCACATTGCACACCTACCTGTTTTGAATGGAAAGTACAACCCCATCCAAGACTAATAATAAACCAGTCCCTGATCTCAAGAACTATATCTATATTTATATCTATATCTATATCTATATCATTTATATCTATCTATCTATCTAAGCAGTCCCGGGCTGACATGTACAACTGGGTATGATCAGCATATTGATAATACTAGACTTTGAACTGACAAATTACTTCACTCAGTGGTTTCACATTGAGCTTCAAAAGGAATGGCAGAGTAAAACAGAAGCTAATATATTTATTGATAAAGAATTCTGAATGACAGCACAAAATTTGAAGTAGTTGCTAGGCCTGTAAAAGATGAAGGTTCCAGGCATAACTCCCAGAATGGTATCCACCTTGAATAAGTGCCCCCCCAGCCACCCCTATGTATGGATTTTACAGATTTCTCTATTATTATTTTTTTACAAAGAGAGCATCCTGTGTGGCGTTTTCAGTTATATTGACCACGAGGAGGTATCATGTGATCAGTTCACTCTGAATGGGAATCTTCAAATGCAAATAACCATATATTATTCTATGGGGCTCAAATCCTCTAGTGGAAAATGAACTCATGGATCTTCCCATTTTAGATAACTAATTACAATGCATTCTGAGACCTTATAGGTATCCCTTCTGAGTACCATCCTTTATTGGTATGATTTCTAACATAAATCAAAGTCTGTTGTCATTCATGTGTTTCCTCTGCAGACCCTGCCAATATCACCTGCCACAGCCCTGTTTTTATGCATGGCTTGAAAATGCTGGAAGAGGAGCAGGAAGAATTCTACTACAAGTGCTACATCCATTTCAGCAACCAAGACTATCTCTTTCTGGGGTTAGTTGGCTTTGGTATATTTTCTGCTGGCACTGTGTTGGCCTGGCTGATGGGAGTATGTGCAGTGATTTATGAGTTCTTAACTGCCAGAGGAGAAGATGATAAGGAGGAAGAGGAAACATAGAACTAGAATGACTTGTCTCTATGAATAACTTGTCTCTATGCATAACCCATGTATGTTTATTGTAAATATCTCCCAGCCCATTCACTAAGGTTGCAGTGATTATAAAACGAACAGTGGGACTTTCTTTTCAGTATAAAAGTATAAACAGATTATAATGAGGATGTAAATGTTAGCAAAACTCTACTGAAGTAGATCCCATTCAGCAGAGTGAAAGGTTTTTTATTTTTACTTATTTTATTCTACTGTAAAAGATAGATCAGAATAAAAGTCAAAACAATTAAAAATAAATATCACACTTTTACATAAAACCCCATAAACTGTATTCCACATACATATCACAGCTATAAACCAACAATCATCATCATCATCATTTCAGTACTATAATAATGAAGGAGCTTTTCATCTCAAGAAAATTGGGAAAAAAGAAACTGCACTTTTATCTAGGCATTTTCATATTTATAGTTCTGCTTCCCAAAGGCCCCCAGTGCATAATTTTTATTTATTTAGAATTACACTGTGAAATAAATGTCAGACTGAAAGATTCCAAGGATGGGATTATATACAAGGACATCAGAGAAACACAGCCTTAAAAATAACAGGACTGCCAATTTTTCCCAGTATGGGAAAAATACTGCCTAGAGCAGCAATGCTCATCAAAGAACTGGAGCTACTTGAATAAAAAGAATTGCTCTTATGTTTTTAAGTGCATTTCTTCAAAACATAAACATTTAATAACATTCCACAATGAATGAAAACATGCATGATTAACAATAAAGCATTGTATTACTTTCCAGCACTGAAAATTATTCTAGTGAATCCCTAAAATTGGCTCAACTCTCTTCAAGGCACTCATTATTGCAACTTTTAAAAAAGTATTCTTGAGAAAGGTTAAAAAAAAGGCTGAACATCAAGTACATTTCATCTTCTAAAGAAGGATACTATATCCCCCTGATATGAAAGCATGTTCCATTCTTCAGGGGGCTCAACACAGGGATGGGATTCTACAGGTTCAGACCGGTTTGGGCGAACCAGATGTAAAATTTGCATCTGGTTCGCCAAACTACTATTTGAACCAACTGGATGGCCCCCCCCCCCCCTCCCCTCCCTCCCAGGAGTCTCCACACGGGCCATTTTTGATGCAGGTAAGTGCAGGGACCATGGGGAGGCTCTAGGAGGGGGAAAAATGGGCCTTCCAGAAGTCTGGAAATGGGCCTGTTTCTGGCTTTTGGAGGACCTCCAAAGCCCAGGGGAGGCCATTTTCACCCTCCCAGAAGGCCCAAGGGAAGTCTTCAGACCCTTGGGAAGGCGAAAAATGGCCCTACCAGAAGTATAAGAAGTTGTGAAATGGGCCTGTTTCCAGCTTCTGGAGGGCCTCCAGAGCCTGGGGGAGGCCGTTTTTGCACTCCCAAAGGGCTGAGGGAAGCATCCGGATCCTTGGGAAGGTGAAAAGCGGCCCTACCGGAAGTTCCAGTAGGCCACACCCACCATGGCCACAGCTCAACATAAATGAATAATGGCTTGGCTAGGCAAGTCTCTTCTTTCCTGGAGATGGTAGCCAGCGCCAAGATGGAACACTTGAATTGAATTATTGATCACTTACAGGAAACAGAGTCTTCAAAGGAGAGCACAAAGTCCTTGCTCCCTAGATCAAGAAGATTCCACATAATAAGGTTTGGTTACATTCTGAGCAAAGGCTCAGAATGAACAAAGACTTGCAACAAAAGTCAAAGATAATAAAAATAGTTTCTTCCAACATATAAATAACAAGAAAAAAAATCAAGGAAACAGTCATTCCACTAAAGAAAGAAGATGGCAAGGAAGTAACAGGCAACAGAGAGAAAGCAAAGCTGCTTAACTCATTCTTTGCATCGGTCTTCACACAAAAAGAAACTATAGCCCAACCTACCAAAAATATAACTGTAAAAGACAGGCTTATAAATAAATAAAAGCTAAAATAAGCAACAACAAAAAAAGGTAAGAGAACACTTGCCTGATATTGATGAATACAAATCACCGGGACCTGATGGATTATATCCCAGAGTTCTAAAGGAGCTGGCAGATGTCATCTATCATCTACAGTGTCACATTTTTCAAAAATCCAAAAGCACCAGGAAACTATTAGAAGACTGGGAAAGAGCTGATGTTATTCCGATCTTCAAAAAGGGGGGAAAAACAGATCCAGGAAATTAAAAATCAATCAGCCTAACATCAATATCCGGGAAGATACTGGAAAAGATAATAAAAAACAGATCTGCCAACAACTAGAAACAAGTAAAGTCATAACTAGGTCAGCATGGGTTTGTTAAAAACAGATCATGCCAAACCAATCTTATTTCATTTTTCAACATAGTGACTAAATTTGTAGACCAGCAAAATGCTGTGGACATAATATACTTAGACTTCAACAAGGCATTCAACAAAGTAGACCACAACTTACTTCTTGGTAAACTAGAAAAAAGGGTTAGATAGCATCACCATCAGATGGATTTATAACTGGCTGACAAAGTGTACTCAACAAGTAGTCCTTAATGGTACTACATCTACATGGTGGCAAGTAAGCAGTGGGGTACCACAAGGTTCCGTCTTAGGCCCAATACTCTTCAATATCTTAATAAATGACCTAGATGAGAGAGTAGAAGAGGAACTTATCAAATTTGCAGATGATATTAAGCTGGCAGGAATAGCCAACACTCTGGATGATAGGCTCAAGATCCAGATGGACCTTGACAGACTTGAACACTGGGCCCTATCTAACAAAATGCAATTCAGCATAGAGAAAAGCAAAGTCTTATACTTAGGCAAGAAAAACCAAAGGTACACATGTAGACTGGGTGAAACCAGGCTTAATCACAATAACTGTGAGAAGGTTATTGGAGTCTTAGTGGACAACCAATTAAATATGAGCCAACGGTGTGAGGCGGCAGCCAAAAAAGCCAATGCAATCCTAAATTGCATTAACAGAGGGATACAATCAAGATCAAGTAAGGTACTAATACAAATCTATAAAGCCTTAGTAAGACCACACTTAGACTACTGCATCCATCCAGTTTTGGTCACCACACTATAAAAAAGTGCACTTTAGAAAGATTTTAGAAAAAGTGCAGAGAAGAGCAACCAGGATGAGTAGGGGACTGGAGGCTAAAACATACGATGAGCAGTTGCAGGAACTAGGCATGGCTAGTCTAGAGAAGGACCAAGGAAGGCATGATAGCAGTCTTCCAATATTTGAGGGGCTGCCACAGAAAGGAGGGGGTCAAGCTATTTTCCAAAGCATCTGAAAGCCAGACAAGAAATAATGGATGGAAACTGAACAAGGAGAGATTCAACCTGGAAATAAGGAGAAATTTTCTGACAGTGAGAACAATCAACCAATGAAATAGCTTGCCTTCAGAAATTGTGGGAGCTTCATCACTGGAGGCTTTCAAGAAGAGACTGGGTTGTCATCTGTCAGGAATGGTGTAGGGTCTGCTTGGGCGAGGGGTTGGACTAGATGGCCTACAAGGTCCCTTCCAATACTCTAACTAAAATTATATGAAAGGCAAGCGTTCTCCAAGGAGAGGGTTAGAAACAAATAAAAAATAGAATCTACCTGAAGAGTAGACAAAGCATCTTGGTCAAGACTAACAGGATAACAGGACTGGAACAGATTACCCAACCATGTGCCCTTAACTCGTGAGTACCCAACCATGTGCCCTTAACTTGAGAACTCTGTTCTCAAGACACTCAGAAGACATAAGTCAGAGTTGGAAATGAGCAGATCATGGTTTTGGCAAGGGCCTTGATCACTTGGCATATAGCCTGTGGTATCACAAGATTTCTGACTAGAAGTAAATTAACTTTTATTCTATACTGTAGACCACTGTTAAAAGCAGCTCACCCCATCAATATTCCTTTTGTCACTGGCATTCAGTGAGGGAATGCCACTGGGGAAAAGGCCAGCTCTAGCATTAGCTTTTTCCTTACCTTTCTTGCTTGCTGTTGAACAGGACTTTTGCTGTTGAACAGAATCCTCCACTGACCCACTCATCAGCTTGTGTCCCAAGCACAGAACTCTCTGGGACTCATTTCAAGCCCTATGCTGCATGACTCAGTTCTTCCTACATTTCTATAGGTATGCTTTAGAATCCAGGAAGATGAACAGAGCTATTGTCATGGAAATATCTCATCTGATTGATGTTCTTGGTCCCCTTGGATGAGGACAAGGCTTCAAACTGAAGCTTCCATGCCTCTTCCATCCTAAGAATTAAAGCCTAAGTCATTAAGCCATCTCAGAATTGGAGGCCTGTAATAGATTAAAGACAAAGGGGCCTCCGGAAAGCAAAAACAAATACACGCTCCCTCCCTCCCTCTCTCTAGGTTGTCTGCAGGTCTAGTCCCTTGTATTCTTTACTTTGGACTATATTTGATTTTCTGTTTGCAGCTGATGAACATGGTGGCTATGGTTGTAATTTGGCCGGCATCTGGAGATCCAGGAGCTTCTAGAGAATACCTCAGTTCACAAGAAACCTTGGTTATTGGTGCAAAGAACCCTTGTTTTAATAAGCCATTTCATACAAAAAATGTTGTGTTATTAGGTAACTAACCTTGCTTGGGCTGAGTCCAAGAGTCAGACATGGCTAATATCTGTATGAACAACCAGGAGGGAATTTGAAAGCTGTAGGCAAGATTGGAAAGTTAAAACAGAATCCTAGAAGAATACAGCAAGAACCTACTTCAGAACTGTTCCCAATAACTCCATGAATTGTTGGAAGACAAATTTGACTTAAGGGCATCTTTAATTTTACTGTGACTACTGTGAATACTTTGTAGATACCCTCTGAAAATAATATAGGACATAGGTGAAGCCATTGTTACTGAGATGGAGTTTTTCCTAATATGTCCTATTATATAAAGGTTTCACCTGTCTAGTCATGTCCAACTCTAGGGGGTGGTGCTCATCTCCATTTCTTATCCAAAGGAATCAGCATTATCCGAACATATTTCCATGGTCATATGGTGAG